GCTAGCTCTCTAACTTGGGGCAATTTGGCTGATATTTCTGAGCTTCTATTTCCTTATTTAAAAAAACCAAAATGGGCCTATCCAAAACCTCATGGCATCACTGGAAGGATCAAATGCCATGATGTATCTAAAAGCTACAAAGCTATTCTCTGTCTTACAATTGAGACTGTTCTCTTCCCTTTTGATAGTAGTTGTGCTTTGATTAGTTTTCAAGATAGGGACATTTGTCACCAGCTGGAATGGGCCACTTGGTAGAGAAGACTCACCACTAGGACGCTTGTGTGACTCCGACACTCGCTGGGTTGTCCTGGGAAAGCCAGCTTTCTCTCCACATCTTGGTCTCCTCATCTGAGAGACCTAGTCTCCCTCATCTATGACTTGTGGTTTAACCTCAGGTCAGTAGTACCCCTTTGTGAATAGTCTGAGCAAATGATGAGACAGCAGTATTTTTTTTTCCACGCTGGCAGATAAAATACCTATGAAAGCAAACACTCACAGATGTTTTCCTTCCTGCTCTATGCTTTCCACGTTGGGATCTCACTAACTGTACGTAAGAACCTTGTGAGTTGGTGAGGCAAACATGACTGTCCAGCATCCTTGTATAGATGATGAAAATGAAAGTTTTGTCCAACCCGCGTGTCTCAGTGGTTGAGTATTGACCTATGAACCAGGAGGTCATGGTTCCATTCCCGGTCAGGGCACATGATCAGGTTGTGGGCTCGATCCCCAGTGTGGGATGTGCAGGAGGCAGCTGATCAATTATTTTCTCTCATCATTGATGTTTCTCTCTCTCTCTCCTTCTTCCTTCCTCTCTGAAATCAATAAAAATATACTTCAAAAAAGAAAATGGAAGCCTAGGAGGGTAGAGAGATCCACCCAGATCACTTAGATATTTGGACAAGTTCTCTGGGCTCTGGGAGGTTGTGATTGTTTGGGAAATCAGAGGACTCAGAGGGCCACTTCTCAAGAGCCACTGTCATATCTTGCCTGGGGTGTTATAATAGCTTCATAGCCTGTTTCACTTACACTTTTGTCCCCATAAACGGTGGCTTCTCCATCCGAAGCCACAGTGATGCTCTAAAAACATAAGTCAGATCACGACCCCCTCCAGGGGCTCTCATCCACAATCAGCGTCAGTTCTTACCTGGGCCCTGGCCCCTGTCTGATCTCCCTTCCTCCTATGCACGCTGCCTTAGATACTCTGCTCCAAACCCATTAGTCTTCTTATTGTCCCTTGCACACATCAGGCACCCTCAGGACCTTTGCCTGAAATGGTTTCCTGCAGATATCTGCCCTGTCATTTCCCCTCTTCCTTCAAGCTTCTGCTCAGATCATCACCAAATTAGACATGTCTTTCCTGACTACCTGTATAAGTCCTGATCATCTTTACATATTGGTATTCCCCTCACTGCACTTAGGACCTGCCAGCATATATCATTTACCTTTTAAATGTTTATGCTCACTGTCTATTTTCTCTACTAAAACATATGCCTTCTGAGGGCAGGAATATTTGTTTGGTGATATATTGTAAGTGTTTACAACTGTCTGGCATGCTGTTAAGTGTAAGATAAATATTTGTTTAATGAATGGGTGAACCAAAACAGGGCACAGAAATATGGCCAGAAAAAATATCCAGGGACAAATCATGAAAATCATCCATTTGCTAAGTGAAATAAAGGCATCGGCTATGAGAAAACAGCCCGGTTAGCAGAGCTGCAGATGGGGCTTTATTCACTCCCCAGAGGAGAATCCATTCCTAACCAAACTCACAAGGTTCTTAAGAGAATTAAATGAGATCACACCTTGGGAAGCATAGAGCAGGAAGGTAAACACTGTTGAGTCAGACCAACCAGCTGTCTATTTAATCTGCTAATACAAGGAAAGAAATGCTGCCAGCTGGGCTGGTATAGCTCATGGTTGAGCATTGACCTATGAACCAAGAGATGACTGGTTCGATTCCTGGTCAGGGCACATGCCTGGGTTGCAGGCTCAATCCCCAGTAGGGGCATGTAGGAAGCAGCCTATGGGTGTTTCTCTGTCATCAATATTTCTATTTCTGTCCCTCTTCCTTCCTCTCTCTCTAAAAAAGCAATAAAGACATATATATATATATATATATATATATATATATATATATATATATAATTATTATTTTTTTAAGAAATGCTGCTGTCTCATCATTGGTTCAGACAGTTCACAATGTGTAGTTTCCTGAACCTTGTCGATTGAAGATGGGGTTGCATTCTAAACAGACAAGGCAGAGTGTAGCAAGGTATACTTTTATACTCATGCATCTCTGCGTTTGCATACACTTTCCCTCAGCCTTCAATGCCCCTGCATCCTCAGTCTCCAATCTGGTCAACTCCTATTCAGTCTCTAAGGCCAACTCTAACTTGGTTTTTCCTGACCCCTCAGGCTGAATCACCTGCTCCCCTATCTGTACTCTGTGTGATGTGTGAGAACACGAGTCCCTTCCCATGCTCCAATTCCCTCTCCCACCCTGTTGGAAGACATGGAAGGCCATCAGTAAGCGGACAGTTAGAACTTGGGAGCCTAGCCAGCTCCTCAGTCAAGAAAACAGCTAGCGTTCACTGATCTCATGCAGCGTTTGCCCAAATGCATCTCCCTCCCCCTGCAGACGTTTTCTGCTTTGCTTTCTCTACTTTATATATAGTAATCTTGTGCTGGAACAGTTGGGGCTAGGAAAACTTCACCGCTGGCTACCCCCACGGGGCATGTAAGTCCTAACAAACCCATTTCTTTCACAGCCAGTCCTCTGGGTTCTTTTTTATGGGATCAGCAAGCATTATGCTGAGGTTTTCTCAAACCTCAGCTCTTTGCATAACAGTATTCACCACCTTGTGTTATAGTTGTTAGTGTATAATATTCTTTTTTTTACTATTACCATTTGTTTATTGATATGAGAATGAGAGCGAGAGAAAGAGAGAGAGAGAGAGAGAGAGAGAGAGAGAGAGAGAGAGAGAGACATTGATTTGTTGTTCCACTCATTTATGTACTCATTGGTTACTTCTTGTATGTGCCTTGATACAACCTTGGTGTATCAAGATGATGCTCTAACCAACTGAGCTACCCAGCCAGGGAAGTCTATGATATTCTTTATTGTTCCTCAATAAAGCGTGACTGCCAGGATGGTCCTGGGCAAAACAGGCAGTTGGTCCCCCTAGGCATGGACTCTCTGAGGGATCCTATATCACTTTTGTCTTTCCAGAGTCTAACTGAGATCTGGAGCATCAGAGACGTGGTAAAATGGACATACCTTCAGTTTGTAGGGGCTGCACTGTGTCCTCTGAACTTCTTGAAGATGAGGTCTGTATACCCCGAAACAGCATCCCACTGACAAACTTTGAGTCCTGTGCCCAACATCAAAGCCGCCACGGTGGGCAGAGGGAAGGAACTTTTCACTGGGACCCTGAAGGACGCCATCTTAAAATACATGAGCCAACAACACAGGTGTTCTCAGCTTTCAGTGTCTTACTGCTCAGAGTGTGGCCTCTGGACCAGACACAGCAGCAGAACCTGAGACCTTGCTAAAAGCTTGGAATTTCAGGCCCTCCCCTAAGCCTACTGAGTCAGAATCTGCATTTTAAGATTCCCAGCAGATTCATACACACAGCAAACGTGAGCAGCAGTGCTCGAGGGCATGTCAGAAACACCTGAGGATCAATGCCGACATAGACTTGGCCAGCCGCACCCCCTGCAGACACTGATGTGGTAGGTAATTCTGACACATAGCCGAGATGGAGAATTGCTAGAAGCCTCCTTATCCTATCCCCGTCCTTCTCAAAGTGTGCTGCTTGGTCCACATCTATCACTCTCCAGGGATAAGCCTCTGAAATCAGTATTTCCAATAATTTTTTAAAGAGGATTCTTATATATATCCAAGTTTATAAACATGTCCCAGGAAAAAGAATGGTCTATAAGGAATTACACAAGTGCTCCTGGTAGATTTTGTGTGTTACTTTTTGTTCTGTTTTGTTTGTTGTTTGTTTGTTTTAACCTGTCTAAAGCTCTCTCCTAGTTAGATAGATAGATAGATAGATAGATAGATAGATAGATAGATAGATAGATAGATTTCAGAGAGGAAGGGGAGAGGGAGGGAGAGATAGAAACATCAATAATGAGAGAGAATCATTGATCTGCTGCCTCCTGTATGTCCACTCCTGGGAATTGAGCCTCAATCCAGACATGTGCCCTGGACCAGAATCGAATCCGGCATCCTTCAATCCCCAGGCCAGATCCCTATCCACTGAGTCATGCTGGTTGGCCTCTCCTAGTTTTAATCCACGTGGCTTAGATATGACTGTCCCTTCCAGAAGGAAGCATGTAACCTGGGCCTGACCAATGAAAAGCTCCTTCCCTCTGCCCACCATGGCGGCTTTGAGGTTGGGCACAGGACTCTAAGTCTGTCAGTGAGACCAGCACTGTTTCTAGAATTATTGGGACATGTGCCCGTGGGCACTCCAGAAAGCCGAGTCGGGCACCGTGGGGAGATAGGGCACCTTGCCCAGCACAAAGCCATGGGGACCCATCAAGTTGTGTTGATTCGGTGCTTTAAAACAACTATAACTCGGCTCGAGGTTAGGCATTATGGTGAGGTGCCACAAATGACCTTGAGGTCAAGGAGGGACTGAACATAAGACCGTGGCCCCAAAAGGTTATAATGGAGCGGAAAACTTCCCATCGCCTAGTCCCGAATCCCTGCTTTGTGCCAGCTCAGTCTACCAACGCTATGGGCTAGAAAACAGCTGGGCTTGTGAGCTCCAGGCAGACATCCTCCTTTCTAAATCAATGTTAGTTACAACTGGGCCAACCCTTGTGGTTCTCATTAGGACTGCAAGACACCCTTCCTGGTAACAATTAGGAAACTTGGAAGGAAAAACGGGATTGTTACTTACAGACCCTGGAGCTGACACGGCAGGCCTGGGGCACACAGCGAGGTCCCGGGGAGAGAGTCAAGGCTTACACACCTGGGCTTGGGTTCGGCTTTTATTGGGTTCAAGGGTGGGCGGGGCTTAGAGTGTCACAGGCTCACTCTTTATTGGAGAGTTTAACACACAAGAGCAGGAATTTAAAGCGCAAGGAGAGAAAAAAACAAGTAGCCCAAATGGTCAGTGATGGAAATCAAGGTTTCAGCAGCAAGGCAGCCTCAGGGCTGGGAGGCGGCCCTGTTGGCCTGCAGGGTGTTTCTTCCCGCAGTGGATGGCTCCCTGGTCAAAGCTGACGTCAGGCACCCTCATGACCCAAAGGAAGCCACGTGTCAGGGCTGGCACTGCAGTCGCTCCTTTGTGGTCCTGCTGGTGCACACCGGCCCAGTGGCAGCACAGCACAAACGCCGACAGGGGAGGGCTCCGCCATCTCGGTTTACCTAAGCCCTTTATGATGTTCACACAGTGACAGAATCAGCGCCTAGCGACACATTTCTCAGAATGTATCCCACTGTTATGTGGCACACGACCGTAAATGAAAACGGGATTCCGAGACCAAATAGTCTGTGCAACACTGCATTAAACAAGTTTCCAAAGAGTTCACCTCTCAGATTCTTCAGTATGCCAAAGCACACTGTGCGTTTCTGAGGTGTGGCATTTTACAATCATGGATTTAAAAAAACAAAACAAAAAAACAACAATACGTAGCATGTATGGGACAGTGTCTCTTGTAAAAAGCACTGGCTGACAGCTTACAAAATGTTGCCACCTTGTTGTTTTATGTACTCCTCCCGGCAGTTGTGGAGGCTAGCACTGTGGGTGCAGGTGAAGGCAATCCGGCCAGAGGGGGGCTGGAGAGGCTGGGTGAGCTGCCTGAGGCTGCAGCCAGCCCGTGGCTGACCAGCCCCACGGAGTCACCCGCAGAGCAGGACAGAGCGGGGCAGCAGCGGTGGAGGAGGCCTGTCTTCTCCCAGCTCCCAACACGGTGGTCTTCCTGATACTCTCTGCTTTGGAGGGGCAGTTCCTGGGATGAAAACATGCCAAGGAGAGTTGGTTGATCTGTGTGGACACAGCAAGATTACAGTGGATTACACACATGTTAATGGATGCAAACAGAGTGCAAACAAACTCCCCACCTTCCTCTTCCGGGTGGCTCCAAAGAAAATCTTTGCGGAGACCATTACTCTTGGGAGTTAGGAGCTAGAATGGGAGTGGCTACAAGAGCAATAAAAGGAAGGCCTAACCTGTGTTTCCAGTGTAAGTCAAGGTTCCTGAGGGATTAAAGAGACAGATGCACAGGCTTGGAGGGCCTCCTCTCTCGGATAATGAGTGAGACTCTCTCCTGGAGCTTCCAGCTGCTGACAATGTGCCAGGATAATCGAAAAATTCCAGGGATTTGTTCCTAAGGATCAAGTTTTGGAACATTTATCCAAATCAAACTCAAAAAGTCCCCCCAGATGCATCCTGCACTGAGGCTAAATCTATCTCCTATCAATGCTGAAAGGATTCAAAATGATACAACTGGAAAGTAAAATAGTGTTTTCTGATTTAAAACCCATGCTCTTTCTGCTGCACCATATCGGAAGGACTTAACTGGAAAGGATAAGGTAGAAATACCTCTTCACTGAAATTTCGCCATGCAGCCTCAGGCAAGAACACTCCACGACCAGTTTCTTCAGCTGGAAAACAGAAACACTCACGTCTGCTCTGGAGGCGTGTTATGGGGATGAAGTGATACAAGCCACGTGAAGCTGTACTTTGAAAATGACATGCAAGGCAAATGCTATTTATTAACTTAAACCAAGTTCTACTGCTTCTTCTACTACTGTCCCACAAGTAATAACAACCAATCTGGCAGTAGAAATAAATATTAGGTTAAGTAGAGAGGGAGATAAAGGTGATATAAAAAATGGAATCTCTGCTGAAACCCGGCAGCTGGTTGATGTTTCTCTCTCATCGATGTTTCTAGCTCTCTATCCCTCTCTCCTTCTCTCTGTAAAAAAATCAATAAAATATATTTTTTTAAAAATGGAATCTCTTTCCACTTTTTGTCCCTCATCCAGACGTTGGGAAAACAAATACCATCGACTGTGTCTAAATCTAAGACTTGATTTAGGAAAACGACAGCAGTCATTTCCAAGTTTGTTCATCATGGACAAAATGAGTGCATACCTGCTCCATTATTTCCAAAGTTCACACAGTATTACTAAGCACAGGAATCGCGCACTTGTGAAAGTTCTCTTTGCGACACTTGGCTTTTATGAAAGAACTACGTTACTACCTGTTTTTGAGAACCAAAATAAATGCAAAGAGGATTTTAGCTTTTAGGAAAAAAAGGCAAAAAGTAAACTAGCATACAGCGTTTGTTTTGTGTGGAGCTGTGGTGGAGGCAGTGGCACGTGATCGGGACAGTGGCCCTCCAGGCCACGCTCTACCCCAAGAACAATCTCAGTGTCTCAGCGCCAAGCGCCGTGGCTTTCACCTGTGTTTGAGAGCCTCTGTGCTTCATCCCCGTTTAGTCTGTGCATCCATTAGCAAATGTGTCCTGCGGGGACTGCTTCTCAGCCTTATGTCATTTTGGCTTTCAAAAGGTTTCGTAGAAACACTGCACTTTCAGATAGCGGGGCAGCTCTGGACACCCTCTGAATCAGGCCCTGCATTAGCACCAGGGAAGCCTTTACATTCCCATGGCGAGGAGGATGGAATATGCAGCATATCTCTGTCAGGCACGGGCATTTAACACACAGGCGCTTGTCTGCACTCCTGAGACCAGCACAAAGATGCACGGTAGCATCATTTACTCAAAAATAAGGTATCGGGAGGAGATAGTCTTGATTTCAAATATTTTCCCCCATGTTCTGACCATGGACCACTTTTTAAAAAATCCTCACTGGAGGATATTTTATTGTTGCTTTTATTGATTTCAAAGAGGGAGGGAGGAAAAAAGGAGAGAGAGAGAGAGATCAGTTGCCTCCAGTACCCCTGCCCCTTAGATGGAGATCAAGTCTACAACCTGGATATGTGCCCTGACCAGGAATCAAACCCACAACCTTTTGCTGTATGGGATGATGCTCCAACTAGCTGAGCCAGACTGGCCAGGGCCAAGGGCCACATTTTTATGCTGAAACTGCTGTATAGTTAGCAGAGTGGTCATCCTTTTGTGACTTCTCACATTTTTACAGATTTCATTTGGGGTTCAGCATCTGCCTTTCAGCTCCCAGAACCAAGAGGCAGAGCAGATTCTAAGATTATCTTAGCCGCTTGGTTCCACCAAAAGGTATTGTGTGCCCTTGAACGCGAGGCCTCATGACACCCATGTTCTCTGCCGCGTGGAGGGACTGAAGCTGGCCCAAGAGGGCAGACTCGAAGGTGCTCTGAAGTCAGCCGAGCGGAAGAGCCGCCTTTGATGGCGAGAGCACGTAACCTAAAGGAAACTTCAGCCTGTGTCGTTGCAGGCAGGCCTTTCTTTCTGCTGGGCCATGCATGCCGAGGAACACAGAAACCTCTTTTATTTTAATTGTGAAACATTCCAGCTAAAAAACATCCTCCTGGCTGGCATGTTTAATTGAGCTCCTGAGAGGCTGTGGCGGTGTGACTTTGGGATGAATCGCCCGCAGTCCCCTTGGTCTCACCAAGAACCCATTGATGTTTCATAAATCCAAGTCGGTACAAATCTAATTGAGTTACCATGCTGAATTAGCTCACATCTAAATGGCATTCATGTCTACAAATGGAATAATTAGAGTCTAGAAAATGGGATATATCAAGTGGCATCCCAAGTGACAACAGAGAGGCATTTGTATTCATTCAATCAACTGCTTAAAAAAAAAAAAAAGCTGCTGTAAGACTTGACTTGGGCTGGAGGATTAGATGCAGTGTTTGGGCGTTGGGTTTCTCTTATTGTTAAAAATATTTATATTTACTTGTCAGATGCCCTTTATTCATTCTTCAGTTAGGGGAAGAAGAAATGTCAGGCCTGAATTTCTTTTTGACTACTTAGTTTAGAAAAAAAAGAAAAAGAAAAAAGAGAGAGAGAGATAGTTCTGTTTCAGCTTACAGATCTGTTTGTGTTCAAATGGCTTCCTTGTTTCATTCCTTTTGAATTTAAGTTTTTCTTCTCCTGCATTTACTTCTAAATAAGATCCTTCACACCCTGGGGGGTGGGGGGGATGCACAAGTAGATTCAGATGCGGATGCCAGAATCTCTATGAAAAGTGCCTGGGTGCCTAATCATAAAAAATAAAGTTCACATGTTGATCAGAAAGGATCTCATTAAATGGTTTCATTTCCAAGTTATTTTAGTTGTGAAACTTTAAGATGTTTGGATTGAATGCTTCCTCGATTAACAGTTCACTCAGCAAATATTAAAGAACAGAAGAAGTTAATGTCTTATTTGGGATCCTTTAACTATGCAGGCTAATGGCCTCCTTCTAATTCACACTCTAGGTCTTCAATCTAATTTACATGCTTAGTTTATTTATTACCCCAATTAAGTTTTGCAAATAGTTTGCAATGAGGTCCCCATGACCCCATAACTCACAATTACTCTTGGGATCTCCTGCCCACTTGGCATGTTTTGAATAATACTGCAATATCTTCCAGGAAAGGATTGTACCCAGAAAATGATGGATGGTGAGTACAAGCATCTTGTCCATAAAAGACAGGACCTGGAATGTGTCTTTGGTTGGCTAACTGGGGTGTTGTTGAAAAACTGAAGCATTCGGTGACTTGGCTTATCCATGGTCTCTGTGGCCATTGCCATTCTCATCACTGAGGCACCCTATGTCTGCTGACTCTCCCCTCAGGGTGTGGATGCTTTGGTGTTAGAAGTCTGTGCCTGCTGTGTGGCTAGCCCTGTAGCACACACAGAACATGGTATTATTTGATGGGGACCAGAAGACTTTATTTCCCTAATCCTATTTCCCAGTCTCCAGTTTTACTTATTTCTCCATTAAAAATTTAAACCAGTGAAATCCAAGTTAAGTTTGTAGTTTAGTTCATAGTACTGTACCAATGAACAGTAAGTTCTTAGTTTTGACATATGTACCGTGGTTATGTAAGATGTCAACATTAGAAAAAGCTGGGTGAGAGGTACACAGGACTCTGTACTACCTTCTAAACTTTTCTATAAATATAAAATTACTTCAAAGTAAAACGTTTTTAAAAATTTATCTGTAATCCTAAAGTCTAGTAGTATCTATATAAGAGGTCCCTTATTAAAGTCCACCCAAGAGTGGACCAACCTGAGACAGAAGTATGTGGGGTAGATGCGAATTGGGGGGTTAGGGGGAGAGATGGGAAAGAGAAGGGAAGCCTGGACTCAATGCACCAGCCAGGGACTTGAGAAAGACCCTTAATTTCTCTATACCTCAATTTCTTCATCTGACTGGAGGTGTCATTAATAATGCCAACATTTCTCAGGGCTGAGAAAGAACAAAATGTAGAAATAATGACTATGCTTTGGGAAGCTAAAAAGTTGTGCATACTTTTATTAAACACCTCTGATGGCGAAATAGAGTTGGGGTGTGAACAATACTCTAAGATGTTACAGAAATCGTGGAAAGAAACTTTGGAGCTAATTAGCCCAATCTACCCTCACAGATGAGAAACCAGAAAAACAGAGAGAATATGTGATTCATCGAAGGGTCCTGGTCAGAACCAGAACTAACACCTCCTGGGTCCCCAGCCTGCACCCTTTCCACTGGGCTGTGGTATTTTCCAGTGTTGTGTTCAGGACTGGTCCTGACAAGGGTCAAGCAAATATCTGCTGGGTGTTTCCTCTCCAGGTTTTGTTTGAAAAGCACCCCATCTTACATTGAATATTTTATTACCATGTAATAACAATAAATTTCCAAACCAAAAGGTCTGCCTGTTAAGGATGGCCTAGTTATTAATCCACAGAAAATTCGTTAAGGTGAATTCAATCAGAGCACTTCATAGAAGTGGGAATTCAAGCAGCCTGGTGATGTCCAGCTGCATAAAAATATCTCTGCAGACCTGGCTGCAACATCTGTGATCCAACACCCTGAAATCCACGCTCATTTAAAGCCAGGATCCCCTCCCAGTTCTCCAGGTCCCTGGAAGCATCACTCTTCTCACAGTTCTCCTGGTGCCAAATCCTACCCTGTTTCTTCGAAAATAAGACAGTGTCTTATATTATTTTTTTTCTCCCAAAGTTGTGCTAGGTCTTATTTTTAGGGGATGTCTTATCTTTCCATGCCCTAAGTCTTATTTTTGGAGGATGTCTTATTTTCGAGGAAACACAGTAGATCATTTTTCTCTGCTTCTGTCACAGTTCTAAGTTAATGTCTTATTTGGGATCCTTTTGGGAGGAGAGCCTAAGTCTGACTCGTCTTCAAAAACTCCCAGCACCTGCAGGATGCCAGATGCCTGTCACATAGCAGCCCAGCCGTTCAAGATTGTCGCATGGATATATCTCTGCAAAAGCTCTTTTGTGAAATCCTTCCAAAGCCCATGTCAGGCTTCTTCAAGGTCCCAAGGGAAGAGGCTTTCTCTCTGCTTCTTTCACACCCAAAATCATGCCGTATTATAAGATAAATTAATCCACTTCATTGCAAGTTGGGCTAATGGATGGACTACACTGGGTAAGTCAGATCCTAAGGGGATATTCAGAAAAGAATCTCCCCCAACTGCCAGGTGAAAAGACTAAATTTCTAACATTAAATATTTCCACTGTAGGTTACTATAAATTTCATCAGCGTGTTTGCCATTTTAATCTGTGGATATGTTTATTTATCACCCCTTAGTAATTTACCTTGTGCTATTTACCTTATTTGTGTTAACATCCAAATTGGTAATTCAATACCTACATGTATACTTTTTGAAACAATCAAGTAATCAAATGCAAATTGGCTTAACATTTTGAATGCTGCACCCAACAAAAGTGGAAAAGTGACCTGGCTGAGTCTTAAATAGGCTGGGGCAGTGCAGGTAAAGGGTCCCATCTGGCCAAAATCAACGTGGCAGAGTTCAGATATGGGAATAGCAGCTTAGTTTACTCAGCTTTTAAGAGAAAAGTTTTCCCAGAAACCGTGAGCCAATAAGAGAAAGCTTTGGGGAAGGGTCATCTTGGCTGATAAGAACTAAGAGAGTTGTGGTACAGTTTTGTGTATCCAAGTCCTGAATTCATTTGGTCCAGCCATTTATTTATCTGAAAAATAGAAGGATGGAGTCAGTAGGCAAGGTGAGAGTCCTAGTGCTAATCCAGTACAAACAGAAAGAGTCAAAAGTTTGGATTGCAAGAGAAATAATAAAGGATAAATAAATAAAAGATAAAATTTATTTTGTTTTTAGCTTCACCTAACAGGAATCCTAACTCGTATGGCTTAATACAGTGGTCGGCAAACTCATTGGCTCTCAAAAGAAATGTCAACAGTACAGCAATTAAAATTTCTTTTGAGAGCCAAATTTCTTAAACGTAAACTATATAGGTAGGTATTTTGTTAGGGTGCTCCTATGCTGGCCTTTGCTAAAAACTCAAGGGGCCAAAGAGCTGCATGTGACTTGTGAGCCGCAGTTTGCCGATCACTGGCTTAATCAATACAAGGAAACGGATTCCATGATGATGAAGTCCTGAGTTGGCCCGCTCCAGCAGCAGGTTGGTGCTGTCATAAAAAGCCCAGGGCCTCAACATCTTTTCCCTCTGCCACTGACAACATGCCAGCTTTGCCCTCAGACTGGCTGCCCTCCTGGGCCAGCAGATACAGAAGCTCACCTCCGCAGGAAGAAGCGGGCCATTTCTTCCTTGTGTTGCTTCATAAGAGAAGGCATCATCCCTGAAGTCCGAAGCAGACTTCCACTCCAGTTGCCTTGGCTAAACCACAGCCACTTGCCTTCTTCTACCAGTGTTTCCCAAAGTGCGGTACATGTACCCCCAGGGGTACGGGAAGAGTTTGGTGGGGGTACGCGTTGCACCGGAGTTTGGTGGGGATATGCACTGCACCGTGCTTAGCTGCGCCTAATTCTACGTTCTCGTGAGTACGAGGGGTACTCAGCGTTACAAAAATTATAGAAGGGGTACACATATGTCAAAAGTTTGGGGAACCTAAATAAACTCAAGTTCATATTTGCAAGAAAGAAGAGAGGAACGGATGCTGGTAAGTAACCCACAATGGAACACACACTCTGTAGAATGAATGGGAATCATATCTCCAAGATTGGACTCTTCTTTACCCACAACACTGGTTGAGCAGAACTCTGACTCTAACAACCTACAGAGTATCTTCCCCATTAAAGATAGAAAGGAGGAGATGAAATTATACTACTATAAGTTCCCCAACTTCTGACTTCACCTGTGAATTATAAAAGGTTCTTTCACTGGTGGGATTGTGTATAGAGAGGACAATTAGGTAACTGTCCACTGAGAGCTTGGAAACAAAGTCTGGATACTGTGTGTGACTATCTGTGGGAGAAAACAAGGAGACTGGGTTTACGAAGATCAAAATACAGTCAAGGTGATTTGGGGAGCATTTCTTTTCTTTTCTTTTAAAGTATTACACATGTCTTCTCCCCCCCACCCCCAATGACCCCTCCCCACCACTGCCACCCCCAGCACATGCCCTCATCCCTCTAGTGTCTGGGTCCATTGGTTGTGCTTATTTGCATGCATACAAGTCCTTTGGTTGATCTCTTACCCCTCCCTTCCCCTGCCTTCCCTCTGAGGTTTAACAGTTTGTTCAATGCTTCTCTGTCTCTGGATCTATTTTTGTTCATCAGTTTATGTTGTTCCTCATATTCCACAAATGAGTGAGATCGTGTGGTATTTATCTTTCTCTGACTGGCTTATTTTGCTCAGCATAATGTTCTCCAGGTCCATCCATGCTGCTGTGAATGACAAGAGTTCTTTCTGGGATGCATTTCTTACACATGGACCAAGGGTGGGGATGTAGTTACAAAGCTAGAACCTAATCAACACCACTGCATTCTGATAAGAGAAAGAGGTATGCATAGAGGAGATTAGAAGAATCATATTTTAAAGCCAGACTCCTGGAGGCAATCATTGTCAATGCCCACTCCCATGGAATGCTCCAGGGAAGCCTTCCTTTCCAAGGTAAGAGTGCCTCATACTATCGAGGCTGAGATGTTCTTCCTAATGCCAGCGAGCTTCCGCTAAGTGAGCCTCTGCTAGCTTTTCTTTAAAGGAACGGATGCACTGCACAGGTCTGTGTGAGCAGTCTGACCCCTAGGCAGGGATGCCTCTTGCTAC